TCACGCTGAATGGCAGCACAGCCTTCCGGTGTGTGTACCACTCCTCCCAGTTTGGTGTCATCAGCAAACTTGCTGAGGGTACATTCTAACTCTTCATCCAGGTCGTTGATGAAGAAGTTAAACAAGACTGGGCCCAGTACTGACCCCTGGGGGACACCACTTGTTACCAGCCTCCAACTAGACTCAGCGCCGCTGATGACAACCCTCTGAGTTCTGCCATTCAGCCAGTTCTCTATCCACTTCACTGACTACTCAGATACTAAGAGCCAGAGACTCCATTCATACCCAGCATCTCCGGTGTTCTGCCTGAACTGACAGCTTTGTTCATTGCTCTGAGAACAAAATCCTGAGATTGCTTCTTCAGGTTTTTCAGCCTTGATAGGGCATCATAGAGGTTAAAGTCAGAGACCGTATAACGTTTATTGATTGGCAGCCAATAAAACTAGACAGTTTGTCAGTCTTCTTAACTGAGGCTATAGCTAACAATGTGCTGATTTTTTTTTTTTCCTTAAAATATCTGGGAAGGGATAATTTGCTGTAAATATCACTAAAATTGTTATACTCATTCTAATAATATATATACCTGGGTAGAGTTAAAGGCAAGGCCCAAGACAATTAAATACATTTTGAATGCCAGACTGTCCTAAATACGCACATGCACAAGTAAGACCACCTCATCTGTAGAGATGTTGCTTTTCCCCACAAAAAAACATGAATGATTAAATGCTTTTTCAAGATGAAGATATCTGATTGCAAATTATTTATTTATTCTTTTTTTACCTCCTAACAAATCAAAGTGTCTTGGGAACTATCATAGACAAACTGACAAAATACAGGTTAGACAAACAAAGTGGATTAAAAAATTGGCTGAAAGACTAGACCCAGGAGATTGCAATCAGCAGCACAAAGCCCAGTTGGAGGCCAGTCATGAGCAGCGCATCCCAGTACTCAGCACTGGGGCCAGCACTGCTGAACGTGTCCATTGCCCTCATTACACATGCTGCACCCCGCGGTCAGCACAAAGCTGGGGGCAGCGGCCAACATGCCAGAGGACTGCGCTGCCATTCAAAGGGACCTCAGCAGGCTGGAGAACTGGAACGGCACAGAGTTTGACAAAGGGAAATGCCGCGTGCTGCATCCGGGGAGGAGGAACCCCCAGCACCGGGCACAGGCTGGGGCCTGACAAGCTGGAAAGCAGCTTTGCGAAGAAAGACCTGCGGGTTCTGGCGGACAACAAGCCGACCATGACCCAGCAACGCACTCTCGCAGGAAAAAAAGGCCAACAGCATCCCAGGCTGCAGTAGGGAATGCACGGTAAGGAGGTGGAGGGAAGTGATCCTTGCTCTCTGCCCAGCCCTGGTGAAGCCACACCTGGAGTGCTGCGTCCACTCCCCAAACCACGGCAGGCAGGGACTGACTGGAGCGAGGCCAGCTAAGGGCCACGAAGATTAAGGCACTGAAGCATTTCTCCTGAGAGGAAAGGCTCAGAGAGCCGGGACTTTTTAGCCTGGAGAAGAGAACATTCAGGGCAGGGGATCTCATCAATGTATGTAAGTAGCTGATGGAAGGGAACGAAGAAAAGGTAGTGCTGGCTGACAGGACAAGAGACAATGGCCACTAGGTAAAATGTGTGAAATTCCACCTGAACACAACACTTTTTTCCTGTGAGAGTGGTCAAGCACTGGAACAACTTGCCCAGAGAGGTTATGGAATCTCCATCAGTGGAGATATTCAAAACCTGACTGGATGCCGTTCTGGGCAATCTACTCTAGCTGACCCTGCACTGAGGAAGGGTTTGGACCACATGATCTCAAGAGATCCTTGCCAACCTCAACCATTCTGTGATGTAACACCTGAAATATTTCCACTGCTGCACAGAGAAAAGGTGGAATTTTACTACTGAATCTACGTAACATGAACTGTGTCATGAGCGTCTTACACATCACGTTTTAGAACTTCCTCATAAAAAGAAACATAAAACAGTGTTAATAAGCAAAATGTGAAGTCAATGAAGAAAACACAGTATCAATCATTACTTATTTAAGAATAACATTTATAGGCATTATTTCAGCCCTGGCCATTAACTGTTCCTCCAAGACCCATTAAGGATAAAGGAGTGATGCACGAGGGCATGGTACTCATCCTTCAGAGGGACAGAAGCCTTAGTAGCTACTCTTAAACTTGATGACATTTTTATGAAAGACACAATAAAACAAAACCGAAGTACCAAAGTTTTTCAATACTTCTAGATTAGTCACTGCATGAATTGCACAGGAACTGCCAAATAACCTGGACAAATCCAACGGAAAGTACTCTGACTTGAGGTGACTTCCTGCAAAATAACATAATGTAATCTGTAATACCAAACTCTTTATTTAGCAAACACTGCCTTCCAAAAAAGGATATCTCATTCTGTAGCACAGTGTGTCAGCAGAAATACGGATCTCCACCTTGCAACATGTGAAAATGGACCATACTGAATGCCCTGAGGGAGAACAGCTGGGCCATCTTCTGATTTTACCTAGCACAGTGAAGTCTTAATTCCAATGAGCTGGTAGTCTACACACAACACCTATCTCCCACGTCAAATACATCCTGAAGCTATATTTTCATTAATATATTTGCAATATAACTGCATCAATATATGACTGCAGTTTACAGTATCAATTTACTGTATCAAAGTAAGAGTATTTCTTACTCTTCAGAACCCCTTAATGCGATTAAGAGTTTCACAATTGGTCCTGAGCATGTTTTTTTCTGATTAATTACAGTTCTCATTTCTACTGCACAGATTCGAAAATAAAAACTAGTTTTTTACAGCTCTGAGCACCTTACTTTATTTCTCTCTTCACAGTCCAATACCTTATTTCTCACTCCTTTTACATTATCCGTTCCTTTCTATTTAAACAACATTTTAATGATGACTAACAACTGGGTAGACATTTTAAGGAAGATGTAAAAGTATTCTGTGCTAACACAAGTCTGTAAGGCTATTCTTGCTCTTCAAATTTTTCTGGGGAAAAAAGGCAAGGTCACCTGGTATTTTTATGTTTTTCATGCAAAGATATTATAGAGGTTGACCACGAAAAACATTTACAGAGCGCTCTACCTGTATCTTCTGCACAAAGGCAGGGAAAATAATAAAAGTTATCACCCCTAACAAACATTTTAGTAAAGTTGGATCACCAGGTCCAAAACAACCGTAACTTCCAATTTAACCTGAGCTGCATATTAACATTTCAGATGTCATAATTTTTCCCCTGTGTCATTCCGATTCCACGGCCTTTTTATGGGCTATAAAAACTGAGAACAATATTTGCAGCTAATCTTTTAGTTAGCTCTTTCTGCCTCCTTTTCATGGACTTCTGGTAACAATTTTCACAAGTAGCTATTAATGAACAGAAATCTGAGAACAGGGCAACTGCCTACTCGTAACTCTTTGGAAATGTCGTAACTCTTGAGGACAGTCGGCTCCAGCTGGCGTCAGGAGCTGACTAATAGGAAGAGCGAACAAACTTTATTTTCATACTCTTTTTAAAGACAAAATTTTAAGCTCTTGAACATAATTTTAAGGTAAGGGATTTCAAGTTCATATCAACATGTAGTTTATGGAAGACTTGTCCGGCACATTAGCATTCTGTCAAGAGGTGTTTCCTTAAAGCTTTACATTTTCTTTACAAGGCCTAGTTTACATTACCTAACACAAAAACTGCACTACATTTAAGAAGCTGGGTCAAAACATTACACAGTAAAGCAGACCATTCAAACTGACAAGAAGTAATCCAGGAAATGACAGCTCCTCTGCCCAGGCCTCGCAGATAAGTCACTTCAACCAGGAAATGTGTTGTTAAAGTGATTTCACTGCTCGCTTCCCCCTCCTGCTCTTACAAAAGGCTCAGAAGCTAACAGGCCAAAAATAGCAGCTTCCAAACAAGCGCACTGTTGGCAAAGACAGCTCTGCCCCCGTTAAAAGCCTTTTGCTCACAGCAAACATGCTGAAACGTTCTCCACAGATTGTTTTCCAAGGGAAAAGTCCAAACTAGGTATTTCTGCAACACCCTGCTACACCAGGAGAAGAGCTCCTGGCCACCCTGG